GATGCTTTATTTTGAGGTAAGGCGTGTACAGGTTCTGCTTTGGCTAGAACACATTCTTTTGATTGCTAAGATGATGTGGCAGCCAGTGCAGATAATGCGGATGGTACATGGCATCCTAGCACATGAAGGCACTGAGGAAGAGCGCAATGTTGGAATGTTTGAGAACTTGGCAACAAAGATGGCAAAAGAGACAAACTGCTTTTTCTGTGGTATGAAAGAAGAATCCAGTAAATACACCTCCTTTTCTCAACAATAGGCAATTTATTTCGATGTGCTCATATTACCCTGGTTACAGACACGCACTGCTTGGCATGTGACGCCGTTGACTCAACAGGCAATGCAGTCAGTGGCAAATAAGAAGAGAGGATTGCCTGCCCTTTCGTTGAGTCTCATGTTCTTTGTGCCCCATTGCTTCAATATGGGAAACAGAGAATGCCTACCCTGGTCATTTACACTAAGCAATATCATTAGATTGTAGCAATGAAGCGGATGCTTTTATGCCTGGAACCGGAATGATTTTTTTAATTGCCACACTTTACATTTTCTTATTCATGGATAGGTATAAAATAGCAGTTGATCCGAACAGGTTTGAATGCATTTACTCCGTAGAATACAAAGCGAGACCGTCATTATTTTAGTATCTAAAGCCTCTTACTGACACACATGAACAAATAGCACACTCCCACTGCGGCATTGCGGAAATCAGTTGTGTGGAGAGCATGAGGAGGCATACAGTTTGGAGGTCCTCGGGGTACCAGTGGTCTTCAATGATGCATCTGTCATCGCCCATTGAATTGACCACTTCACTCAGAGCTGCTGACATCCCCTAATGGCAAATGCTTCAATTAAATGGAAAGAATCTGCCAAAGTTGGCACATAACGCCATCTCCCTTATGCGATAAAGTAAGATGAAAACAATGTCCCCACAACTGATGTGTCTGCAGGCACACCCGCCTCTGCCAATCACATGCATTGCTGGTACACCCAAGTGAGTAAGGGACTTGCCTGTGAGAGTGGCAGATGTGTTGCAGACCACCTGCAAGTCAGCGTGAATGTTTCTCTCACTTTGAGAAGTCAAGGCTAATTAGGAGAAAGACAGTTTCTCCACCACAGTCATTGGAAATGCCTTTGATTTGCATTGAGGATGACCGGTGTGAGCAAACACGTGCAGCATTGTGAGCAAATCCTCTTCTACTGACAAATCTCATCTTCATGACACATTGCATCATTGTGATGTGTCAGTGCAAGTCCTGTCAGGTCGTCTCACCTTTGCACTACTTGAGTCGGCGGCAAATTGGGGACACGTGGTGGGCCATGATGAGACA